AAAAAAAAAACAAAAAAACATACCTTGATACCATAATGTTAAGTGAAAATCTAACTTGGCAAGTTTTTACTCAAAATTTATACTCAGTTCATGATATATTAATCTGCATTATTTATACATTGCTATTTGATTATCACTTTCTTTAAATCAATTATGGGTTTATCTCACCACACTTCCTTAATTCCTAAGGAATAGAATCTTGCTTTCTTAATCTCCACAGTATGTTCTGTGTAAGTCTTCACAACAGGCTCTTTAGAAATGTGGCTGAATAATGGGAGCTCTGGGAATAGTGTGTGACATATGGATACTAAATACACACTTGGACCCCATCTGTTTGGGTGCAAGAACTCCAATAGACAGCTTCTGTCCACACCACACAGAGGTCAGCCAATATTTTTCTCAGCGCATCCATTTGGCAAACATGCTGGAAAACCATTTAGGAAGATTTCTTCTAAGTTCTGATTAGCTTTTAGTACCTATGGAACCTGCCCTCTGGACCTAATTACATTTTGGACTGATTAACAATGTCAGTGTCTACCCAGCTGATCTTAAGTTGGTATGCCCCTCCATTGCTGTCTCTTAATTATCTCTTGCAAATAAGACTCTTAGCAACATGCAGATCAGATGGTACTAGAAACATGTGAAAACATTAGTCAGACATATGATGCTATAAAAATAGGCCAGCATATGGTGATAGTCTGGTACTGGGATTCCACAGCTAGCATCATTTCCTATTTTTCCAGACCTCAGTAAATTCAGCTAGTAGACACAGGGCCACACCTCCAGTCACTGGCTTTGGGTGTTTTTTGTTTTTTTTTAAGCTGTCCTATTGGGCACACAAAAACATGCTGCAGGGTTTTGGGGGCTTTTTTTTTTTCTTTTTGAGACAGGGTCTCACTATGCAGTTCAGGCGGGCCTTAAGCTCACTTTGTAGCCCAGGCTGATCTTGAACTTGCAACAATCCTCCTGCCTCAGCCTCCCATGTACTGGGATTACAAGTGTGCACCACCACGCCCGGCCTGAAGTTTTAAATAAAAAGAGGATTCACCCTGTCCCCAACCATCAGTTAATTCACCCAGTCAATCCTTATAACACATTTTGACTTCTTCCAAGCCAGTATTTTTCAATCTTTAGGACACATAAGAATTATATTCCCATAGTACACCCATTCATTTCATATTCAGTAGGTATGAAGCAAGGCGCTGGAATCTGCACTCTCAGTAAACACCACCTTACATTCTTCAGTTGTTTGTTTTTCAAACAGCGCCTATGCAGTGCAGGCTGGCCTTGAACTCACAGCAATCCTACTACCTCAGCCTCCCAAGTGCCAAGATTACAGGCGTGCACCACCATCCCCAGCTCCTCAATTCTGATTCAAGTTATATAAATCATCTTACGAAAAACCCTGCTGACTGCTCACACTCCCCAACTCCCAACAGCCTCCCACTGTAGCCCTTCCTCCCCATATTACTATCTCACCTTTTTGAACAAACCTCATGAAAAAATTAACATGAAAGCTGCTACCACTAGGAAGGCTTTAAGAACCGACTTTACTGTCAATATTTTCTATTAGCTGAGATCAGTGGTGGTGAACCTATGCCATGTGTGCCGCAGGGGTTGCCTCTATCATTAAAACCCATCACTGGGCTAGACCAAAGACAAAAAGCAGACTTTGCTTCTGAAAAGGAATAACCTTAAAAAAAGAAAAAGAAAAAATAAAAACAGGTGCAGTGGCACATGCCTGTAATAACAGCACATAGTAGACTGAGGCAAGAGAAGGGTTGTGAGTAAAAGGCCAGCCTGGGTTACATAGTGAGTTCACAGCCAGCCTGAACTACATATGGAGACTACCTTAAAAAATAAAAAATAGGGGGCTGGGGATTTAGCTCAGCGACAAAAGCGCCTGCCTAGCAAGCGCAAGGTCGTGAGTTCGTTCCCGGTACCGGAAAAAAAAATAAATAAATAAAAAAAAAACCCAAAAAAATAAAAAATAAAAAATAAAAAATAAATAAAAGATTTAAAATTCCCAAGAGACGTCTGTGATTGAGACATGTTCCTAGAATATTAAACTGAGTTCTAGTCCTAGTAACAGAACAAAATGCCCTTTAACATAGACAGACAATGAATTTCCCTGAGGTTTCACTATCTACTAAATGGACTAGCCACGTATAGAAGTACATACCTATAATCCCAGCACTCTGGGAGGCTGAAGCAAGAGGATATTAAGTTCAAGCTCAGCCTGGCAACTTAGTGAGACTATCTCAAAATAAAAAAGAGCTGCGGGTATAGTTTATTGTGAAGGCTCTGGGTTCAAACTCTAGTACAGCAACACAAGCTAGAACAGTCTTCTCTCCTTGTCACCATTTTCAAAAATCTTTCAAAGGTTGTGATGATTAAGCTTAGGTATCAACTTGGTTGGCTTGGGAACTGCTGGGTCTGTATGGGTGGGTCCTAAAGGTGTGACCTTGGGTATGATCTGGTCCCTGTCCCTTTCCTCTCTGGCATGTGCCCCTGCTCCACTTCCCAGTCACCATGAAATGAGCAGCTCTGCCCTGCCACAATACTTCTGCCTTAGAGCCAGCCAATCATAGACTAAGCTCTCTAAAACCATAAGCCAAGGCAAACTTTCCATCCTAAAAGAAAGCTGTGGGTGTTGAGTACTTGGTCTCAGTGATGGGAAACCTGACTAATACAAAAGCCCATTTCAAGGATCCAAACCTTTCATGTGGTTGATCTTCCTAAACAAGAATTACCTTTTCCTCTTCCAAAACCTCACAAGCTGGGCATGGTGGCATGTACCTATAATACCAGCTACTCGGCACACTGGGTCAGGAGGGTCACGAGCCCAGGAGTTCAAGGGCAGCTCAGGCAATAACATGGCAAGATCCTATCTCTTAAAAATAAATAAACAAATAAACAAATAAAACTAAAAATGAGCATATTATGAACTTAGCAATGGGCCAGGTACTCTGCCATTCACATAGATCTCATTTCCTTTTTTTCCTTCTTTTTTTTGCAGGGGGGCGGGGGGCGGTACCGAAATTCGAACACAGGACCTTGTGCTTGCCAGGCAGGCGCTTATTCCACTGAGCTATATCCCCGACCCTTCATTTCCCGATGAAATGGTTAGGTTCTTCTATCTTTCACAGACTATAGCAGGATGCCTACATGAGGAAAGTACTTAATAAACATTTACCAAATGATTTACAAAATAATGATCAACAGCATAAGGTATATCCAAGGACTTGTCATTTCTGTTCACTCACTTAGCCTTATTATACTCTAGCTTCAAATACTTACCCAATTACTTAAGTCTTTGTTTTTTGGGGTTTTTTTCCTTTGGTACCAAGAATGAAACTCAGGATCTTATACTTGCTAAGCAGGTGAGCTGAGCTCTATCCCCAGCCCTCAATTACTTAGTCTATTTCCACCCAAACTTTTATGTAACCAATACTCCTTCCTCAATTCTGGTAACATTTTTCTTTTGGGCAAAGGCATATAAAGGGTAGTAATCTTGGGAACTGAGCCCTTAACCTGTCAGATTTGAGGCTGTACTAAGGTACACAGTTTTGGAGTCGAGGATATAGCTTAGTGGTGCACACCTGTCTGGCAAACACAAGGTCATGTGTGCGTTTGATTCCTAGTACCAAAAAAAAAAAAAAAAAAGGTACATAGTATTGAATGCAATCAGAGGACTTAGTTGATGTCTATAGCTGCAGAATTATTTGCCTGCTGATAAGGAGAAATTCCTGAACCTTCTGAGGTCACAGACGTGCTGTGTGTTAAATATAGCATAAGAACAGAGAAAAATGAGACACCGTATTTTTCCCATCCTTTTTTGTTGCTGTTGCTGGACATTAAGCCCAGAGCTTTATACACGCTATGCACATGCTCTACCATTGAGCTGCATAATCAGCCTCCACAATCCTGTTCTTTAAGTTTCCAATTAATGAAAATTTTGCCATAAAGACAATGAGTAGAACAGATAATAAATGCAAACAGAAGCACTTACCTTCATTCCCCACATCATCATTCATGAGTCCCCCCAGCCACATCTTCCAGTCCTCATCATCAGCTGTATTGGGGTCATACATATCAGGGGTGATGTCCGGAGCACGAAGCTCTGCCTCTAGTTGGCCCAGAGGAACATCCTTCAGGGGCATCTTAGAACGGGTTCTGAATGCAATGAGACTATCATCCATGGGCTAGCCAACGGAGCAAGAAAAGAAAGCCACTAAGTGAATAATGTTTCTACATTCTCCAAACCTCATTTTCTCCATGCTTTGAATCCTAGCTTCAACCACAAGCTCTCTCCTCTAAATAACCTAGGTTTATTATTGTCTGAAAATTTGTAAGCAAAACGACATCAGTTTGAAACCAACATTTAAGACCATGTATAACAGCTTTACCAAGATATATGACTCATATGTCCAGAAGTTCACCCTTTTAAAGGTGGAAGGATTTTAGTATATTCACAGAATTAGGTAACCTTCATCACTAATTCCAGAACATTTCCATCATCCTGAAAAGAAATCCCATACCCAATTACGTTACTTCCTCCTCCCCCTCCTCTCAGTCCTGGTTAACCAATAATCTACATTCTGTCTCTATAAATTTCCTCCTACTGCACATTTCATACAAACAGAACAATACTGTGTGGCCTGCCTGTTTACCTTCACTTAGCATAATACATTCAAACTTCATCCTTGTAACATGTACCAGTACTTCTTTTTATTGCCCAATAATATTCCACTGTATGAATACACCACATTTTCTTTCCCATTTACCAGTTGACGGATCCTTGGGTTGTTTCTATTTTGGCAATAGTCAGAATAGTGCTGCTATAAACATTAGTCTAGTTTTTGGGTGGACATATGCTTTCAGTTCTCTTTGAACGGAACTGCTAAGACATACAATAACTACATTTAACTTTGTAAAGAAATGCCAGACCATTTCCGAAAGCAGTTAAACCATTTTACAGTCCCACAATCACTGTATAAGGATTCTCCACATCCTTGCCAACATTTGTTATTGTTTACATATCTTTTTCATTATAGCCAAGTGAAGCAGTATCTCACTGCTGGTTATTTTGGTGTTGGTTTTTTTCTTTTTCTGGAGATTGAAGCCAGAGCCTCACGCATGCAAAGCAAGTGTTCTACCACTGAGCTATACTCCCAGTCCTGTTTATTTGTTTGTTTGGTTTAGTTGTTTTTGAAACAGGGTCTTGCTATACAGTTCAGGTTGGCCTTAAACTTACTGTGTAGCCCAGCTGACCTCAAACTCAGCAATTCTCCTGCCTCAGCCGGTCGAGTGCTGGGATTACAAGTGTGCCACCAGGGATAACTCCCAGCCCACTGTTGCTTTGGGGAATCCCAGCCCACTGCAGCTCCCTAATGACTAATGATATTGGTCACCTTTTCACATGTTTATTGGCCATTCATACCTCTTTGCTCATCTGAGAACTGTCTTTTTATCACTGAGCTGTAAAGCATTCTTCATGTACTGTAGCTATAAATGCCTTATAAGCTGTGTAATTTGCACGTATTTTCTGCATTTTGTAGGTTGTCTTCACTTTTTTTTTCTGCACAGTACTGCAGATTTAACATAGGGTTTTCACACTGAGCTACATCCCCAGCCCTTTTCATCTTTACTTTCTTGAGACAGAGTCTCTAAACTGCTAAGTTGCCCAGGATAGACTTCAGTTTACAACCCTCCAGCCACTGTTTTTCAGTGCTAGGATTACAGGCATGGTCCCACAACTGATTTGTCTTAACATTCTTGAAACACATGTTTTTCCTTTTTTTGAGACAGGGTCTCACTGTGTAGTTCAGACTGGCCTTCAACTCAATTTGCAGCCCACACTGACCTTGAACTTGTGGATCCTCCTGCTTCAGCCTCAGCCTCCCGAGTGCTGGGATTACAGGTGTACCACCATGCCTGGTATGCTTTTCCTTTTGATGAGGTCCAATACATTAACTTTTTTATTTTATTGCTTATGCTTTTGGTTAAGCTAAGAAAACCACTGCTTCATTAGAAGTCATAAAGACTTATTCCTATGTTTTCTCCAGTTACTTAGTCCTTAAATTTATGTTTTTCTGTTTTGGGGGTGGTTTTTTTGTCTTTTTGAGACAGGATCTCACTATGCAGTTCAGGCTGGCCTTAAGCTCACTTTGTACCCCAGGCTGGTCTTGAACTTGCAATGATCCTCCTACCTCAGCCTCTCGAGTGCTTACGCTGTTATTTTTTTGAGAATCAGGGATCAAACCCAGGGCCTCAGGTATGCTAGGCCAGTGCTCTGCTTCTAATCTACACTGCCACTCTGACAATACATTGAGTTAATTTTAGACATGGTGTGAGGTAAGAGTCCAGTTTCATTCTTTTGCATGAGGACTTTTGGTTGCTCTATCATCTGTTGAAAAGACTACCCTTTCCCCATTAATTGATATTTACATATTTGTCAAAAATCAACTGAATGGGATCGGGATATAGCTCAGTGGCACAGAACTTGCCTGGCAAGCACAAGGTCCTGAGTTCAATTCCCAGTACCAAAAAAAAAAAAAAAAAATCAATCAACTGTAAATGGAAATGTGCTAATATTTGCTTCTAACCTCTAAATTTTGCTTCATTCATCTGAATGTCTATACTTAGAACAGTATAGGAATTTCCTCATTACTGTAACAGTGCAGTAATTTTGAAACCAAAAAGTATAAGATTTCTATCTTTCGTTGTTTTTCAAGATTGTTTGGTTATGCTAGGTCTCCTTACATTTCCAAATGAATTTACAGGTTAGCATGTCAATTTCTGTAAAAATACTAGATGGGGCCCTTCATGCATGCCTGTAACTCCAGCATTCAGAGGGTGAGGCAGGAGGATCACTATGAGTTTGAGGCCAGCCTGGGCTACATGGTTTGTTTAAGGCCAGCTTGAAGCACACAGCAGACCGTATCTCAAAAAACAAACATTAAGGCCGGGCGTGGTGGTGTACTCCTATAATCCCAGCACTTGGGAGGCGGAGGCAGGAGGATCATCGTGAGTTCGAGATCAGCCTGGGCTACAACGTGAGCTCAAGGCCAGCCTGAACTGCATAGCAAGACCCTTTCTCAAAAATACACACACACACACACACACACACACACACACAAAAAAAAAAATTAAAAAAATTCTCCAAATAATATTAACACAAAATTTTCAATGAATGAAGAGAAACTAGTAGTATAACAATTTTGTATTTTTTTTCCTTTTCCCTTCCTTCCTTTCCCTTTCCCCCACCCTAGTTCCTCTTTCCTTCTGAACAATTTCTTTCCATTTCACAATATCTATTGTACACTTTGGACTTTATTTACTCTTTCAGTTTCTCAATACAATGTTTACACATGTGAGTCTGATCTTGTACTCTGAGTATTTTGAAGATAATATGCAATGTATTAACTTTTGTTATTTTCCTATTATTTTGTTTTATTTTTTCCATTTTAAAAAAAGTAGATGGGGTTTGGGTAGGAAATGCATTGAATCTGTTAAAAAAAAAAACTAGGAACACTCTCCTCGGACTACCACAACGATCTCCTAACAAGCTTTTTTGTTGGTTTTATTTTCCGGTACTGGGAATCGAACTCAGGACCTCGCGCTTGCCAGGCAGGCGCTGTGCCGCTGAGCTAAATCCCCAGCCCCTCCTCCTAACAAACTTTTACTTTCCTTTTCTTTATTCATTCGTTTGTTTTGAGACAGGGTCTCACTATGCAGTTCAGGCTGGCCTTGAGCTCACTATGCAGTTCAGGCTGGCCTTGAGCTCACTATGTAGCCCAGGTTGGTCTTGAACTCACAGCAATCCTCCTGCCTTAGCTTCCCCAGTACTGAGATTACAGGTGTACGCCACCTCACCTGGCCTTATTTATTTTCTTATTTACCTACAGTCCATTTCCCTTACTTTAACCCAAAGGAATTTTTGTGATAGAGGAGGTTACTGGGGATTGAATCAAGAGCTTTTACACTAAGCTAGATCCCCACCCCTTTCTTATTTTTTATCTCAAGACAGAGTATTGAATTACTAAATTGCCCAGGCTGGGCTTAAACTTGTGATCATCCTGCCTTAGCCTTCTGAAGTGCTGGGATTACAGGCAGGCACCACTGCACCCAGCTAGTACAATTTAGAAAAATACTCCAAGAAGTTTTTCTAATGGTTAAAACAAAACCTCAGTTTTGTATCATTGACTTCCCAAGGCTTTCATGACCTACCTCTTACCTGTGGCTCACCTTACTCCGATCACTCTCCTGTGATCCCATCCCAAGCCACTTTGTATTCCTTAACATGCAAAGACCTGAAGGACTTGAAACGTGCTGTCTCCTCTGTATGAAGCACTTCTGTCCCCAGAGCTTTTACAAGCCTGGCTGCTTCTCATATGAATCTCAGCTCAAATGTTGTTTCCTCAAGATTTTTTGTTCTATAGTTCTCTGACAGGCATTATCATATTTCCTATTAATTTTTGTTAACAGATTTATCACAGTCTGAAATAACTGACGTGTTTAGGGTCTACTTCTTCCCAACAAACTAAAAGTTCCATGAAGAAAGACTTTGCTGTTTCTTACACTGTTGTTTTTCAATTTCAACCATTCAATATCTGTTAAATAAATGATTAGGTAAAATAATACCACCACTACTATTTAATTATTCAAAAGCAGGATAATTAAATAAAATGACCCTTTTGAAGCTGTTCCATTCAATCACGTATTTTTAAATTTTAAGACGGACACATTTTCCATCGGCCTACAAGACTGGTAGGGATATATTACTAATTTCTCTTAGTTCACTGAAAAGCAAGTTTTGTGCTATTATCTCTTTGTTTCTTCTTTGTAAGAGAATCTTTCTCATCAATGTCTTGTACTCAGGGGAACTCGTACTTTGAAGATAGTGATACACAGTGTATGAACTATTATTATTCTCTTATTATCTTTTGGTTTTTTTGTGTTTTCTTCCAGCACTGGGAATCGAACTCACGACCTTGCGCTTGCCAGGCAGGCACTGTGCCACTAAGCTAAATCCCTAGCCCCTATTCTCTTATTATCTGATTATGAAGGAAAAAAAGACAGGTGGGGAATACTGCAAACATTAAAAATAACTCAAATAAAGTCAGAATTATAAAGTCATCGTTTGATGGTAACCATAGTAATAACTGCTTTAGGCAACTAAAATTAGTGAGTATAAAGATATTACAGGCACAGTGGTACACGCCTGTAATCCCAGCACTTGGGAGGCTAAGGCAGGAGTATTACCATGAGTTTGAGGCCAACCTGAGCTATATAGTAAGTTCAAGGTCAGCTTGAACTGCACAATGAGACCCTGTCTAAAAAACAAAAAAAATATATATTGGCCTCAAATGATACCCCTATATGACACATACTAATTAAAAATGGAAAATAGTAACTTTGGAGGGAAAGGAAGCAGACACCTTGGCCAAGTGATGAGGGCTGACATGACAGACATCTGTGCCTCCGGCTGTGATAAACTGGGAAATAGTACTTCTGTAGCATACGTGCACAAAAAGTACAAAGCTGAACATGATTACAAGTGAATACCAGAAAAATCCAATTGAAGAATATTCTACAAATGATTGCCGTGTAATCTTCAAAAATATCAAGCTCATAAAAGACCAAAAAAAGCCTGAGGAATTTCCAGATTAAGAAAACTAAGAGCAAGAAGCAAAATATACATCTAACCCTAGAATAGCTCTTCGATAAGAAAAAAACAATTTTTTTCTACTGTAATAGGTGTCGTTAGGACAGTCAGCAAAATCTGAGTACATCGCTCAGTAAATTAAATAAGATTATTGTATTCTCAAAGAGAAAAAAAGCAACATGTAAGTGGCACACACCTTGTAATCCCAGCACTTGGAAAGCCCAGGCAGGAAAATGAGTGCAAACTCAATGTTAGCCAGGGCTACATAGTGAGTTCAAGGCCAGTCTGAACTACACAACAAGACCCTGCCTCTAAACAAATAAATAAATAGGAAAAAACTATCATACTCTGATTTTGGTAGCTGTAATATGGCAATACAGGAAAATGAACCCATGTTACACAATAAAACATCTGCAGTAAATGACAGCATGACTGCAGGACGCTCTATATAATGCCTTTTTTTTTTTTTCTGAGACAGTGTCAGGCTATGCACTTCAGGCTGGCTACAAACTCAAACTTGCATTAATCCTCCTGCCTCAGCCTCCCAAGTGCTGGGATTACAGGTGTGCACCAGCACATTCAGCCAATGTTTGGGGTTTTTTTTTGTTATTTTATTTTGCTTTGTTTTGCTGTGTTGTGTAGAGGCTCAGTGGTAGAGCACCTGCATAGCACACATTAGTATTCAATCCTCAGTAGTGGGGGTCAAAAAGTAAAACATGCACAAAAAAAGAGGAAGATAATAAAAAGGCAACTAAGATAAAAGGTTAATATCTGGGAGAATCTGTCTGAAGACTGTTGCTTTGATCCATATTTGAAAATGCGCTGTCACACTGTTTATTCCTTCCTTAGTACCTGCCATTCTCAGGGCCGGGTATGGTAGCACGTACCTAAAATCCCAGCACTCAGGAGACTAAGAGCAGCTAGAGGCCAGCATGTGCTACATAATGAGTTGAAAGCCAACCTGAACTACATAGTGAGCCCCTGTCTCAAAAAACCAAAAAAAAGCCAAGTGTGGTGCCGCACGCCTGTAATCTCAACACACAGGTGGCTGAGGCAGGAGGATCACTGAGTTTGAGGCCAGCCTGGGCTACATAGCGAGTTCAAGGCTGGTCTGAACTACACGGCAAGACCCTGTTTCAAAAAACAAAACACAAAAAAACTGCCACTCTCATGCAAGAGAAAATGGCACAAACCAAATAGAGGCTCAAATACTGTATCATGGCTCTTACTATATAAAAATTAACCCACCACCACCCCCCGCAACAGAAGCAAGAACTAAATTACCGCATTTTACTTCTTCAGTGACTGAATTACTGATCTTACCTGGAAAGAATCCATGCAGACAGGACTGGAAGCCAGCTCCTCATCTACTGCATGCAACTTCTCCATGAAAGTGCTATCCCTGGTCTGCTTTGGTTTCGGAGGGGGTGGAGGCCCCATGGGTACCACCTCAGCGCTGATGTGCCTGACGGCAGGTGCAGTAACTTTCTCAGCCTGATTAAGAGAGGCAGTTGTGTTAAGGAAGAAACAAAAGGGGAGACAGAAAAGGAGTAGGGAGGAAAGAGAAAAAGAGGCAAAGTCCCCAGTGAGGCTGACTCTTTTCTTCTCATCTAGATACAGGTACAGGAAAACAAAGGCACTGTCAAGTACAGAGATCTAATGAGGTTTCATCCTGCTTCCAGTGAAGCCAACAGAATGTTACTTTGGTTACCAAAAGGTGGGAAATCTTCTGGGACACTGAAGCAGGAGGATCACAAGTTCAAACCCAGCCTGCACTAAAGTTTAGCAGCATAGTGAGACTCTGTCTTCAAATTTTTTTTTCTTTTTCTCTTTTTGAGACAGGGTCTCACTGCAGTTCAGGCTGACCTTGAGCTCACTTTGTAGCCCAGGCTGGTCTCAGCCTCCCAAGTGCTGGGATTACAGGCATGTGCCCATGCCCAGCTCTGTTTCCAAATTTAAAATATAAAAATGGGTTGGAGATGTAGCTTAGTGCAAAGGCTCTAGGTTCAATCCAGTACCACAAAAACAAAACAAAAAAAACAAGTAGGAAATCTAATAAAAATGTCTCTAAAGGCAACGGGTATGACAGAAAAAAAGAAACTGCCAGTTACATATATCTAGCCCCTTAGTGAGAACTCAGAACAGTTATTCCCCTATCCCTAGGCCCCAGTCCTCTCTCTCTCTCTCTACTCTTTCCTGTGGAGACAGGGTCTCACTATGTAGCTCAGGCTGACCTTGAGCTCACTATGTAGTCCAGACTGGCCTCAAACTTGCGGCGATTCTCCTGCCTCTGCCTCCTGAGTGCTGGGATTACAGGTGTGCGCCACAACACCCGGCCAGTCTTCTCTTAAGTGTTCACTGAGGTAAGAAACTTCGAAAAGGGGTAAAGAGATCTGAATCACTATAAATATATCATCCACTTAAACAGTTGACTGAGATCTGCTTATACAGTTGTGTCTAATTCATCTCTTTTATAAATTGCTGATTTACCTCTAATAATATGCCACTTTCTTCATCCGTTTCTGTCATCTCAGAAGACTGTCTCAATCTGGATTTCTTTGCCCCACGTGGAGATGATGCAGTGCTTTCAACATCACTTTCCAGTAAGCTCTAAAAAACACCCAATTCGTGTGTGTGTGTGTGTGTGTGTGTGTGTGTGTGTGTGTATCCCTAATTCAATCCACTGTGTTTGAAGTATCTTGAAAATCAATCACAAAATAGCAATCATTTAATTAGACAAAGAAAATAAAACTTAAATAGCTTAATATCCAAAGGGGGAATAGGGAATAGATCACTATCTTCATCTGCATTACACTGTCTGTAAAAGTGTAAGGCATTGGTTTAAAACCTTCTTAGAGGGGGCTAGGGATTTAGCTCAGCGGCACAGCACCTGCCTGGCAAGCTCAAGGTTGTGAGTTTGATTCCTGGTACCAGAAAAAAAAACAAAAAACAAACAAAAAAATGAAATAAAATAAAATCTTCTTAGAAACAAATCAAAGAAAACACTAAAAATCAAATAATACACACTAAAAGTCAAACAATACATTAACACATTGATAAAAATGAACAAACTAAGCAACAATAGTTCTAAGCAACAATATACATGAATCTCAAAGGTATGTTGAACAAAAACAACACGTAAACCATATGTCCATTAACATGTTTCTAAACAGTTAAAATTGTTTGTTTGTTTGTTTGTTTCCGGTACCAGGAATCAAACTCACGACCTCGCGCTTGCCAGGCAGGTGCTGTGCCGCTGAGCTAAATCCCCAGCCCCTAAATAGTTAAAATTCAACTACAGTGTACAAAGATGCATATCTAGGCGATGTAACTATAAGGAAAAGCAAGCAAGGAATTAACAAAAAGGCAGGATAGTGATTATTTTTAGAGGGAAGGAGGTGAAACAAATTGGGAAGGACAAATTGGGTTTGTCCTAACAATGTTACATTTCTTAACTTTGGAAGAAGTTTCATGAGGACTCACAATATTTTAACTATTTCAATTGTACCCATTTTCTTCTATACACATATCTGTTGTTTACATTACAATTTGTAATAAAAGCTACAAAACAGAGATAAAGAACAGGAAAACATCTTACATCATAGAAATGATTTTTAAAAACTATATTTCAATATTCTGTATAAAACATGTGTCAGCACTAACAAAGTATACTCTGCCCTATGAAACTAGTATAAATGAACATCCCCTCCACTCACCTCCTCGGCAGTCTCATCTTCCTCCTCTTCGTCTGGCTGATACTCTTCATCTGAGGAGTCATCTTCTTCAAGGTGGATATCCACAAACTGTGGGGGCTGCATGGCACAGTCACAAATGAGTAGGGCTGGAGGTGTGGCCCAGTGTTAAAGAATGGGCTTAGCAACACCAAAATAAGAAAAGAAAGAAAAAAGGAAAAAAAAGAGAAAGAAATATATAGCATTGGGAAATGCAAAACTACATGTATTTGGAAAATAAGAGGAGAAAGCAAGGCAGAAAAGAATCTCCTAAAAGCGTAACATGCAGTTAGACCAAAAAACTCAAAGAAGGGGTTAAATGATTCTGACATACAAACCTGAGAATAAGAGAACGGAAAAGAAACCAAAGCAGAAATTAAAACAAAAAGACAGGTCTAATTAGTAGAAGCGAAGTACTCAGATTTCAAAGCTGATGAAGTTTTTCTGGAAAAGAAGGACAATCTCTTCCAAGTTTACCTTAATTTCATTGGCCTTCTTAATTGGAGAAATATTCCATGTTGGAATCACCTATCAGAAAGAAAGTAAACAATTCACTGAAATTTTTCAATTTGCATTTTTACTTCCTCTTGACCATCACGAAGAGTCATGTACCTGACAGATACCTACAGTGACCTAGTGCAGAGGGTACACTCTCAAGTATTTGTCAAGGCTTGGCTTAACGTAAACCTATTAAGATTCACTTTTAGCTATAAAGAAGGAAAAAAAGCCTGTCTTGCCTACTTTATATCACAGCACAGATTCATACAGAACAACGGATATGAAAACTACTTGTATATTTGTAAACTATAAAACTACACAAACCTAAGATTTTGTAGTCACAGTAGCCTTCTGATATCAGTACTCCTTTTCAGTGCTGGGGATCAAACGCTGGACCTCATGTATGCTTGGTAACACTCTACCACTGAGAGACATGATAGTATTTTTAAAAATCAACTACATAGGGCTCGGGATCTAGCTCAGCAGTACAAGTGCCTGCCTGGCAAGTGCAAGGTCCTGAGTTTGATTCCTGCCACACACACAAAAACTATCAATTACATAAATCTACTATCGGCTCACCTCCAAAACATCAACCACATGTTCTTACAGAAGGATGTAGGAGAAAAATGTCATGTCAATTGTTTGGAAAAAAGCAATAAATACAGACATAGACAGATATAAAGCAAATAGGATAAAATGTTACTCTTGGAAACCAGATTGACTGTAATATTCTTTCAACTTCTTGTATGTTTGAAAATTTTTATACTGGAATTGAAAGAGGAGGTTTTTTGTGTGCTTTTTCTTTTTGCTCTTGTTTTATTGCAGTGTTGGGGATTGAACCTAGGAAGGAAACTTTTTTCTTTTTTGAGACAGGGTCTCGCTGTGATGTTCAGGCTGGCCTTGAACTCATATTGCCCACACTGGACTCAAATTCCTGCCAACCCTCCTGCCTCAACGCCCCCTAGTGCTGAGGGCTGGGGATTTAGCTCAGCAGCACAGCACCTGCCTGGCAAGCGCAAGGTCATGAGTTCAATTCCCGGTACCAGAAAAAAAAAAAGAGAAAAAAACAAGTTCTGGGATCACAGGCATGTGCCACCACAGGCAGCTTGGAAACTTTTTAAAGAATATTTAAATAGCTTTAAAAAATACACAAAATAAAATAAAAAATAAATTTAAAAAAACATTTTAATAGCTTTTACATACTGCTAGTAAGACAAGAATAAGGATATATAATTTCTTGTGCATTAATTGTGACATAACCAGAATCATCTTATGAACAAAAGACAACGGTCCCCAACATCTATCTCTAAAGAGCCCTAAGATGTCACATTTCAGGCCTGCTATGTACTGATCATTTTGTCAGTACAGGTAAAGGGTCTGATGTAATTCAGATTCGTCCCTTTCCATCTCTGTTTCTGTTTCTTGGTTGTGGGGGGGCGGATGGACGGACAGACGACAGACTGGGGACTGAATCCTGGCACTTTGCACTGAGCTACATCCCCAGTATTTCTTATTTATTTTGAAACAGGATCTCACAAAGTTACCTAGGCAAGCCTCAAAATTGCAATCCTCTTGCCTTAGCCCCAGTGCCAGGATTACAGGTATGCACTACTGCACCTGGCTTACAAGTAATTCTTTAAAAAGGAAAACGCAGAGTACAATTTTTCCTATATCTTCTCCCTATGAATAACCTAGAATTAAAATTCTATTTACCAAGCTAAAAAAGCAAAGAAAATTCCACACCACTTACCACTCCCTTCTCCACCACTTCCTTCAGTTTAGAGCGTGTCATTTTAGGCTCCTAAGAGGGAGAAATAGGGAGAAAATAGTCAGTAAAAATCACCATGTGATTCTTAGGTTTGGAGATACTAACTTTGCACCCAGCTGTTAAACTGTTTACTGTATACAAACTCCAAAGTAACCTCCTACGTCTAGCCATTTTATAGATAATTCTGTTCCCCAACATTAAAAGTGACAATCCACTACTCACAAACATTGGCATGTCTTCTGTCTCACTGATGGCTGCCTTCATCATAGCTACCACATGTTCATTTGTGATTACTTCCTGGAAAAAGATGAAATTTCCCTTTATGCGAAAGAAAGGTCGTCATCTAGCTAATACTCATCTCAATATAACTGCACTACACCAATACGGAGGACAAATGAAAGTTATATTCTCAAGTAGCTTCAGACTGGGATAAAGCAAAGCAACCAAACACCAAAAAAGGCAACATCTGGACAGATGCATACAACTTTAAATAACATAGTAGCATATGGACCTATTTTATTAGATGCTCTTAGAAACAGGAATGAATAGGCATCCTAAGGTAATTTATTATATGTTGAAGAGAAAGAGTAACAAGCCGGGCATGGGAGCACATACCAATAATCCCAGACCTCAGGGAGGCTGAGCAAAGAGGATCTCAAATTTGAGACAAGCTTGCACAGTTTAGTGACTTAGTAAGACTATCCCAAAATAAAAACTTACAAAGGGCTGGAGCCTGTAATCCCAGCAGTCAGGAGGTTGAGGCAAGAGAATTGTCACAAGTTCAAGGCCAACCTGATCTATGTAGAAGAACCTGTCTCAAAATACCAAAAAGGGGATGAGGTGCTGAGACTGTAGCTCAACATATTTTAGTGGAACATTGTGAGTTCAATCCCCATAACAATTAAAAAAAAAAAAAACAGAAAAAGACTCCTAATTATAAATAAAGAACCCGTTTTAAAAGAGTAACAGTTCAAGACCAGACTGGGCTACAAAGTGAACTCAAGGCCAGCCTGAACTGCATAGCAAGACCTGTCTCAAAAAAGACAAAAAATAAATAAATAAATAAATAAATAAATAAATAATTGAGTAACAAATAGCAAAAGCTACAGACACAGCTGAGATGCTACATAAGTGTTAAGTGGGCTTTTTAGCAGATATATCATCCCACAAAATAGTAAATCTATGTTGAATGTTATTATCTTGTTTTTATTTTTTTGAAACAGACTTGCTGTGCACTTTAGGCTGGCCTTAAACTCACAAGGATCCTCCTACCTCAACCTCCCAAGTGCTAGGATTACAGGCATGTGCCACCATGCCCAGGGAGAGAAAGCTGTTTTGAGCAGTATGTTTTGGTAAACCATATACCAAGAATCAAGAACTGGCTCAGAATTTTTATTTGCATCCCATGGGAAATTTCCACTCCAGTGACATCACTGCCCTAGCCTCACTCACGTGAAGGATGTTTCGCACATTGACGGCCGTCAGGTTGTGCTGCTTCGCACCATCCTCTAAGGTACGGTCAAGCATGTCATCCAGTTTCAGGTCACACGTCAAGGTCCCTTGCTCTTGATCCCTTCCATCTCGTTTCCTCTTGGTACCCTTTTTCTTTTTTTTCTTTTTCTCATTTTCTTCATTGTTTTGCTCTTCTGCAAAAACAAAAAAATAACAGCATCTCAAGACTCTGGAAAACTGCTGTTCTAGGAACTTAGTCCAAAAGGCCAATGCTGAAGGAAAATCAAGCTACCAGCTGCCTGGCACTGAACACCCAAGACTCTGCTATGGTAGTGGTGGTGACGGTGGGCTTCATAATATTAGTGCATTAGTAAGGACAGCTAACACTCACTGAGTAGTGCCAGATGTCAGATGCTCTTCTGTGTACTTTATAGATAATGATTCACGTTATAGTTCTGTGAGTAACAACCCTACACGGGCTGAGATGGGGGCATACTCCCAGCACTGAGCGAGGCTGAGGCAAGATTGCAAGTTCAAGCCCAGCCTAGACAACTTAGCAGCTTAACAAGACTGTGTCTGAACATTTTCAAAAACTTAAAAATATAGACACTGTTAATTTTTCCACCATACAGATGAGGGAAATGAAGCAGAAAAGAAACTTTCCAAAAAGCTAATAAATGACAGACTCATGTTTTGAAGACAAACACTGTAGCTCCAGAATCTAAGACTTGTATTATATGGTATACCAGAAATCCTTCGTTTGTGTCAACTCTATGACTTGGTAAGAGAGTCTCGATATTTTCTTTTGTAAAATGTGGATGTCTGCCCAGTAGGCATGTCATGTGGCTTAATAATATTTATTAAAATGCTCTGCAACGAAGGAAACATTATACACATATAATTTATCATTACTAATGGTATTATATGCTTCGGTCTATAAAAGGGAAAAAGGAGAACAAGCAATAAAAAAAATCTACTTTTTGAACTTACACAAATAGAAAGTGGATTAAATATTTTAGTGTCCAAAAAATGTATATCTATTACCAGACAAAAAGAAGAGCTTGTTGACCACAAACCTTTGGTAAGTCTTGGAATACAGTATCATAAAACACTAAAACAAGGTTTACATCTCTCTGACATTTCTGGTCTGCTACTATTTGAAGTCAAGAAGTTAGAGAACATTAACACCAAGACAATCTTCTCTATTTACAAAGATTTTATCAGAGTGTAGGACAGGCATGGTGGCACACACCTGTAATATCAACACTTGGGAGGCTGAGGCTGGAGGCTCACCATGAGTTCAAGGCCAGCCTGGGATACACAGTGAGTTCAAACCTACCCTAAGCTACATAGCGAGACCCTGTCTGAAAAAGAAAAAAAAGCATGTGGTCATAATATTTAAATATTAGCCAGGCATGGTGGCACATGACTATAATCCCAGCACTTGGGAGGCTGAGGCAGGAAGATCATTGCAAGTTCAAGACCAGCCTGGGCTACAAAGTGAACGCAAGGCCAGCCTGAACTGCATAGCAAGACCCTCTCTCAAAAAGACAAAAAATAAATAAATAAATAAATAAATAAATATGTTTAAATATTATAAATTTTTTTTTCTAAACTGTTATTCTTAGTTTCCATCATTTATTTTGTTTCAAACCTATAATAATATACAGACCAGCACAAGTTCATATGGATAGGATGGATCATACCATGGAAAACCATTTAGTCCCAATAAAAATTGAAATATAAGCCAGGCATGCGGGCACATACCTGTAATCCCAGCACTTGGGAGGCTGGGGCAGGAGGACTGCCACAAATCTGAGACTAGCCTGGGCTACACAGTGAGTTCAAGGCCAGCCTAAACTATTCAGCAAGACCCTGTCCAATCTTGTATGCAAATACAAAATACAATTTAAATTAATTTATAAAGAAAACACCATAGATTTAAAAAATAATGAAGTTCACTGCAGAAAGTAATTTTTCATGGAAATATCATTAGTATCTTATAAACAGGGAATCAAAGCCATAACAATGGAGCCTCTATAATTCCAACTACCCAAGACATCTGGTCATGGCCATGACAAAGAATTTATTATACTAACCTTACTGCTGGAAACATTGAAAAACTACACACAAAGCTGGGAGTGGTGACACACACCTGTAATCCCAGCACTTGGGAGGCTGAGGCAGGAGGATCATTGTGAGTTCAAGACTAGCCTGGGGTACAAAGTGAGCTCAAGGCCAGCTGAACTGCATAGGGAGACCCTGTCTCAAAAAAAAGAGAGAGAGAAAAACTACATACAAGGAAAACTTCAACATATACAATGACAGTCTACACACACTGGAGAACAGCCACTGTGACCCGGATGAAGGAGCATGATCTTAGAGAGAAAGGATGCTCACAACAACCTATACTGAAAAACAGCCTGGGGTGGCTAAGTCACAGCTTGGGCAGCCACAGCCACAGAAGTTGAGGGATGATGCCCTGCATAGGAGGGAACCCTGTTAAAAATGTGTCTGTGTACAAACTTCTTTTAAAACTCTTAAACTGTGCACAAGCAGAACACAACTCCAAGAAACCCATCAGGAAATGAAACTATAAGGCCTAAGGCAAATGCAGAAATCTCAGCATTCCACAGTGAAGTGAAGATGGAGGTTGTAGCTCAAGTCTTGTGAAGGAAGGAAGGACTTGAAAAACAGCTTTCTTCACTTAAAGTTCTCAGAATAAGCCACAAAGAATAAAGCCACACTCTGGAAGTTATAAGAAAAGTTGAAACAGTGGAGCATGGTGGCACATGACTAAAATCCCAGCATTCGGAAGGCTGAGGCAAGAGGATCGCTTTGAGCTCCGGGCCAGCCTGGGCTACAAAAGCAAGCTCAAGGCCAGCCTGCACCACAGAGTGAGACCCTGTCTCAAAAAAAACAAAATAAGCCAGGCATACAGCTCAGCAGCACAGTGCCTGCCTGGCAAGTGCAAGGTCATGAATTTGACTCCTGGTACAAAAAAATAAAAAAAAATTTTAAAAAAACAGATTGATGTAAAAACTGCAATGGAAGAGAGAAGTTTCTAAAAATTTATTTTGAGGGGCTGGGGATTTAGCTCAGTGGCAAAGCGCCTGCCTGGCAAGAGCAAGGTCGTGAATTCGGTTCCCGGTACTGGAGAAAAACCAAAAAAAAAGAAAAAGAAAAAAAAAAAAATTCATTTTGACAAAGGCATGAAAGATAGCCAAAAGATAACACTCCTTAGCAAAAGAGACCAAGAAATAGGACTAGAGCCAAGAGATACCTATCAGTGTGTTAGATCTGAAGGACCACCCTGCTCTTACTCAGTGAGAAGATCTTTTCATATGTGTGGATCGACAGCTGGCTGAAGCACTGTGTGGCTTCCGAAACCCAATATCCACTCCAGACAACCAAACCACAGTCACCAGCTCTCATCCAGGTCCGACTGTGGAGACACCAAAGGTATCCGAATGAAGGCATGTCCATCTGTCACAGGCCACATAAAAAGGGTGCCTAATTATCAAATTTAAGGTAAACTTCCCTGAAAATGTCTTTCTCTCTCCTGATAAAACTCTTCACAAAAACTCCTCAGAAGTAGAAGAGACTGATAAAACAGACCAGGTAGAATTAATGCACTTGAGTCCAAATCAGGAAAGACAGTGTCATTGTCATGGAGAAGCCTGTGTGGCTGATAAACATCACCCTAGAAGTGGTTTAGTGTCAGACCTCGTAATGTGGCCGGTGACTAACACCACTGCTGCTATTTTATGTGCAGTAGTGAAAGCATGAAGGACTATAATCACGTTATTTTTTGCCTATGATAAATCAACTACAGCAGTGTTTTCAAAGTTAAATGGAAGAATAAATGCAAATATAAAAGTTCTGACTTTCTCCTGTATGGTGACCTCAGTGTATAGGATAAAGTTTAATGGTTGTGAAAAGTAAAAAAGTACCTACACCTGGCATCCGGTAAGCCATACCCTGAAAATGATTTCGGCTGTGTATATGGACAAATTTAGACCAAAATACCAGGAATACATTCACTTCAGTGTACAGCACTTCATTGTTAAGCTACAGAATAAAATTGTACTCCACTGGCAATCAGAAAAAGGAGAAAAAAAAATATGGTGCTGGGAACCACAAATTATAAACTGAGTCTAGGGGATGTCTCTTTGCTTGTTCTTGTCCTGCCCTTGAGCCAGACACCAAGGTGGAAAATCCCCCCTTTTCTCATCATAGCTGGAAGCCCTAAGGCTAATGACTGCTGTGGTGTTTGAAGGGCAAGATATAACCAGCTGGAGATGATAAGCACCTGCAGAAACTAGTTTCTTCATTGTCTTGTCCTTGTTGCTGCCAGAATGCTTTGTTCTTACTAGCCCACCAGAGTCACCATTACTATTCCTGAAAACACCCACGGCCCTTCACTCACTGTCCTTGCTTCAGGTTCTGAGTAGCTAATGGCCTTTAGTTCCCCAAGGACAACTGGTCATCCCAGATCCCTGCCTGCACCCCTATTTCATCTCTTCCTCTCTTTCTTCCCACTGTGGTTGTAACATTTGGCAGGAGACTGGTGACTCACTACAGGGGTTCCCAACAGCTAGCACCATGGAAAGGGTCTCTAATAGGAAGGGAGGAAGAAGAGAGTGAGGGAGAGAGGAAGGGGAAAGAAGGGGAGGGGAAGGGAGAAAAGAGGGGAAAAGAGGGGATGGAAGGGAGCCAGAGAGACAGAAAGAAAAGAGAGATGAAGCTGAACATGGTAGTACATGTTTATAATTCCAGCACGGAAGGAGGCTGAGCTAGGAGAAGCTGGAGTCTCAGCTAGGTAAGTTAAGACAGCAAAATAAAAAGTTTTTTAAAAGAAGGGCTTCTGGGGCTGGGGATATAGCTCAGTGGCACAAGTGCTTGCCTGGCAGGTACAAGGTCCTGAGTTCAATTCCCGGTACCAAAAAAAAAAAAAGAAGGAGGAAAGAAGGGCTTCCAAGCAGGAATGATGTTGCACACAGTTATAACCCCAGCACTCTGGAGGCTGAAGCAGGAGGATCACCATAAATAACAGGGTAACCAGGGCTGCACAGTAAATTAAAGGCCAGTCTGAACTACACAGCAAGACCCTGTCTCAATTAGTCAATCAATCAATCAACCAACAGAAGATATAAGTACATTATGATCCCCAGTACTGCAAAAAAAGAAAAGAAAAAATTAACAGATGGATTTAATGGATCAGACAAAACAAAACAGATTTCATGAACAGGTCCACAGAGAACAGAAACTGAAGCATGAAGAGGAAAAAAAATAAAAGGAATATGCAGGCTGGAGTACAGTGCAATGGTAGAGTTCTTAGCTGGCATGCATAGGCCTGAGTTCAATCACAAATTGAACATGCACGTATTTTTTTGTATATATGCCAACCTAAAATTCCATATCCAGTGACTATTTTCTTTTAAAATGGAAAGGGGCCTGGGATGTAGCTGAGTGGTACAGTACTTGTCTGCCATGGAGCCCCTAGGTTCAATCCCCAGCACTACCCTCCCCAAAATCAAGTAACTTTTTTTTCCCAGACCTCCCCACCCAAAAATCTAAAATAAACGGGTCATGATGATGAATGCCTATAATCCCAGCACTCAGTAGGCTGAGGCAGGAGGATCACCAAAAGTTCAAGGCCAGGATAGGCTATAGTAAGTTCAAACCCAGCCTAGAATACACTCAGACCCTGTCAAAAAACAACAAAAAAGAATAGATAAATAAATATCTGAAATAATTCAGCGACAGATTAGCCATACAGAATGAAGCAAATTCTTCAAAATGAAAATGATCACAAAGGCAAAGAATTCAGGATGAACCAAGAACATCCAGGAGGTTAGTTATATGATAAAAATTTATTAATTATGAGTAAGGACTCATTAAAAACAGTAACAAAAGCTAAGTGTCAATGCACATGCTTGAATCACGAGTGCTTAAGCTCAGAAGTTCAAGGTCAGCCTGGGCAACACAGTGAGATCCTGTCTCAAAAAAGAAAACCACCCACATGGTACCAAATGCCTGTAATCCCAGCATTTGGGAGACTGAGGCAAGAAGATCATAGTGATCTGGACTAGACTACATAGTGAGACCCTGTCTCAAAAAAACCAAAACCAAAACCAAAAAAAAAAAAGAAAGTAAGAAAGAAAAAACCAACAACAACAAAATAGTAAGTATGTCTTTTTCATTTTTCCTTTGAGACAGGGTATCACTATGTAGCCCAGGCTGGCCTTGAGCTCACTATGTAGCCCAACTGGCCTCCAACTCGAAGCAATCCTCCTGCCTCATCCTACCAAGTTCTGGGATTACAAGTACTTGTCACTTTGCCCAACTTGTAATAAGCATGTCGTGCAGGATTGTAAATATAGGAAGAAGTGAATATAACAGCATAAAAGGTAGAATAGATAAACTCTTATGTATCATTACAGTGGAGGTGGTAAAATACTAATTAAGGTAGATTACAACAGTTTCAAGGATATATAATATTATTAGTCTCTAGGGTAAAATATAAAACAAAAATAAAAGGTAAAACTGAAAAAATGAGCCAGATGAATCTCCTCAAGTTCAAGGACAGCCTGAACTACATTAGTGAGACCCTATCTCAAGAAAATCAAACTAAATAAATAAATTACACTAAAATCATAGTGAGAAGCCGGGCGTAGTAACACACGCCTGTAATCCCTGCACTCAGGAGGCGGAGGCAGAAGGATGGTTGCACATTAGAGACCAGCCTGGGCTACAAAGTGAGCTCAAGGCCAGCCTGAACTGCACAGCGAGACCCTGTATCAAAAAGACAAACAAAAAAATTAAAATCATAGTGAGACCCTGTCTCAAAACGCACACACATACAACCACTAAAATCAACTAAGTACTTAAACAAAACTATGTTCAGACTACAAAAAAAAAATTTTTGCCAGGCATAGTGGCACACACCTGTTATCCCAGCACTCTGGAGTCTGAAAAGCAGTGCCTTTCAAGGCCATCCTGGGCTCCAAGGTGAATTCAAAGCCAGACTGAATTACAGTGAGAGCCGGTCTCAAGGAAAAAAAATGTATATAATTATAAGAAATATAGGCTGAGGACGTAGCTCAGTGGTAGAGCACTTGCATAGCATGTGTAAGGCCCTAGGTTCAATCCCCAGGCCTAATCACCCCCAAAATAACAAAGATACACTTTTAAATATAAAAAGCTAAAATGGTTGAAAGTAAAAGATTAGCCGGGCATGAAGCACACATCTATACTCCCAGCACCACTTGAGAGGTTGAGGCAGGAGGACTGCAGTGAGTTTGAGGGCAGTCCGAGCTACATAGTGAGTTTAAGGCCAGATTGAACTATATAGCAAGACACTGTCTCAAAAAAAAAATAAAGATAGATTAGAAACACGCATATCATATAAACACAAGTAGCGGATACACAATAGACTTTAAGGCAAAATTATATAGAGGTAAAAGGAACATTTCACAGTAGAATCAATTTAAAAGACAGACAGAACAATTGTTAGATGAGTGTGGAAGTACATGCCTGTCATCCCATCCCAGCTACTGAGGCTGAGGAAGAAGGATCCCAAGTTTGAGGTCAGCATTAGCAAACCTTGTTTGAAAATAAAAAAGGGCTGGGGATACACCTCAGCACTCCCTGGGGTGGAGGGGAGGAAGGAGGAAAGGAGGGAAGGAAGGAGAAAGCCTACCCATTGGAATAAAGAGTCCACCATCCTCTCTCTCTTCCTCAGCTCGGTGAACCAGAGTCCTGAGTGGCTTTTCTTGAGGGGAGGCACAAACATCTGGCTGGGATGATTTCCTAGGCTGGGTTCCTGGTTTTACAGATTGGCTGCCTGATGGCAATAAAGGTGTCTCCCCTCCAGAATGCATTTGAGGTTTCCCTAGAAGAATCACAAATATTGCTCCACACTGCCCATTCTCAAACCATACTCTTGCAGAAATCAGCATCTTGTCATAAAAACTTTTTCATTAGGGCACTTCATGAATGAAGTATACTACACATATAGGCACTACCATCTCCTAAAGACAGGGTCCTAAGGAAAATACTAAAATAAAAGTTGAGGTCAGGTGTGGTGGCACCTGTAATCCCAGCACTCAGGAGCCTGAGGCAGAAGGATCACTGTGAGTTCAAGACCAGCCTGGGCTACAAAGTAAGCTGAAGGCCAGCCTGAACTGCATAGTGAAACCTGTCTCAAAAAGGCAAAAAAAAAAAAGGCCTGGCGTGGTGGCACACACCTGTAACCCAGCACTTGAGAGGCTGAGGCAGGAGATCGTTGCAAGTTCAAGACTAGCCTGGGCTACAAAGGGAGCTCAAGGCCAGCCTGAACTGCATAGTGAGACCCTGTCTCAAAAAGACAAAAATAAATAAATAAATAAAAAGGCAAAAAATAAAATAAAAGTTGAAATGCAAACCACTCATCTTAAAATCAGGGAGTTGAACTAGATAACTACCGAGGTCTTTATAATTCTAACATGTGTTGAGCTTTCCATTTTTCCTAATACAAAAATCAATTTCAACCAGACACGGCGGCACACAACTGTACTTGGGCGGCTAATGCAGGAGGATCACAAGTCTGAGGCCAGCCTGGACAACACAGCAAGGCCCTCCTTAAAAAATAAAAAGAGGGGAGCTATAGCTCAATGGTAGAACACTTACCTAGCATGTGTGAGGCCTCGGGTTTAATCCCCAGCAAAATACACACACACACACACACACACACACACACACACACACACACACATATCTCACTGGTGTTCTCATCCCTGTCTAACCCAATGTGACATTCTCTGCCCAAAAAACTCTTTTCAGAAATCACCAGATTTTAGCTGGGCATGGTGGTGCGCACCTGTAATCCCAGTACTTGAGATGTTGAGTCAGGAAGACTGCCACAAATCAAAGCCAACCTGGGCTACATGGCGAGATCTTACTTCAAAAAACAAAACAATAATGTCCTACCACTTTATCTGTAATTCGGTGAAGTCCCCTATTACTATGTTGCCCCTCTTTTACTCTTTAAAATTTAAAAAAAAAAAAAAAAAAATCACCAGACTTTGAATATAGTCTTTTCTCAGGCATCATTATCTTTCTGTCTCCTTTGTCACTCAAATTTTTTTGGGGGGATGCTGGGGATCAAACCCAGGGCCTCTCTCACACTAGGCAAATGCTCTAACACTAACCTGCATCTCCAGGCTGGGGGACTTAGCTCAGCAGCACAGCACCTGCCTGGCAAGCGCAAGGTCATGAGTTTGATTCCTGGTACCAGAAAACAAAACAAAGATAATAAAATAAAATAATCTGCATCTCCAGTCCTTGCCACTAAATTTGAAAGTACTCTGTTCTTAAAACTCTCCTCTCTCTGTTGACTTTGTAGTAACTATTACTTCTTTAGTCATATTCAACCCAAGATTGTCTTTAATCTGCTGCTCCACTCCCTCCAGATAAAACAGAAGTGCTCCAGAAATGACACAATAATGCCAGCTACTCTGAAGAAGATTGTAACCACAGAGCCTCCTGTGATGACAAGACTGATTCTACAGGACACATTTCCCTAAAGGAACGTCCATCTCTGACCACATCCTTCAAACAACTTATCTACTATTCCATCAGTTTTAAAAGACAGTAGTGAAAAATATGAAATTCTACTGTATAAACAAACACAGTACACTGTCAGTAATGACCCATTAATTCCTATTAATTGTGGAAGAATCCCCAAAGGACAAAACAAGACCAAGTGCTTAAAAGACAGCCAAACGGACATCTCAAAAATAACTCAGACAAGAAAAAAAGAAAAAAAGAAAAAGAACTCAGACAGCCTGGAGTAGCGGTGCACGACTATAATCCCAGCACTTGGAAGCCTGCAGAAGGAGGATTGCCATGAGTCTGAGGCCAGCCTGGGCTATATAGTAAGTTCAAGACCAGGCTGCACCACATAGCAAAAGCCTGTCTCCAAAAAAATCAACAACTCAAGGGAAGGAAGCACTCCACGCTGAGGAGACGCCCCATGTGAAAGCCCCAACATGAGAGCAGACCTGCAGTCTGAGGAACCATGACAGGCCAGCGTGCCGCAAGCTGAGGCCTGGGGATACAAGCTTTAATCTTGCTCTTTGAGGCCCTGGCCATCTTCTACCCAGCCTACCAAGGTTTCCTGTTTGATGTCGACATGGACAATACCACAGAGGAGCAGTGCTATGGCATGGCATACACTGTCCACAAGTGGTTCAAGCTCAGCTGGGTCAATCACTAGCTCACTTTTGGATGCTAGATCTGCCATCGAAGTCAGAGGCTGCGCATGGTGGCACATGCCTACAATCCCAGCGCTCAGGAGGCTGAGGCAGGAGGGTCGCTGTGAGCTTGAGGCCAGCCTCGACTACATAGTGAGTTCAAGGCCAGCCTGAACTACACAGCGAGACCCTGTCTCAAAAAGGAAAAAAATACAAAAGAAAGACGACAAACGGTGTCATCTGCAACCTAAATACAATCTACGACTCTGAAGTCTTCTCCCACCACTTCTAAGCCACCACGTAGGTCATCATACACTTTTGCCTATGTACCTCCACACAGACCGTTCTTGACCTCAGTGACCATGCTACCATCTGTCAAACTGTAATGCAGCCTTCTCGTCCTGAATTTTCATGTCTTTAGAGCCTTTCACACGTCTCAGACAGGCCTTTTTTTTTTTTTTTTGGCAGTACTAGGATTGAACCTAGGGACTTCACACTGAGCTACCACCTCCATCTTCTTTTCTTCTTTTTTGAGACAAGGTCTCATTAAATTGCTTCATTGCCTTGGTGGGCTTGAACTTGCAATCTTCCTGACTCAGTCTCCCAGCGTGCTGGGATGTTAGGCATATGCCACCACTCTGGGTTCCGTCATTTCTCCTTCAAAAATTTCTGGCTGCCCTCTTCCACAAGCCTTATTTCATGGATACCCACCAACTCACAAAAACTTATGCACAGCTCATCTCGCCAGACATGCAGAATAAAGGATGAGTAAAGAAAGGGATAAAGAGGATTCAGGAGCTGGGTGCCGTGGCAC